GTCCTGCTCCACTAAGGCCCTCCAGGCGGGGTGGGGGTGGGGGTGCCGCAAGGGGAAAACCTCGCTTCGGCTTTGTCTCCGCTCGTTTCCGCATCTCTCCTCGCCAGTTCTCGAACCGTTAGAACACCCCACTTTAGATAGGTACTTAACAGTCCCTCAGACTCTCTGTCCCCTAAATCCAAGTCTTTTTAAGGGCTTTCCGAAAATGTGCCAAGAAAAATATTTCTCCATTTTTCAGTATCAGAATGCTAGCTACAAATATGGGTTATATTTATACGTGCTAAACTTTGAGGGCCCAAAGCTGACGGATGGAGAATGCAGAAACCCGGTAACAGTCCTCATGCTAACCTGGATTTTCATCCTCACCGATTTCAGCTAAAATTCTAAAATTCTTACCTTAGCACCGATCTGGTTGCCACACTGTCCAGCCTGGATGTGCACGATTTCCCTCATGGCTTCAAGGTAGGTGCCGAGCAAGAAAAGATAATTTTTTTTCTTTCTGGGCTGGTCTCAGGCTGAAGGGATGGAACGTGGCCCCGGAGGCTGCAGCAGCGAGATGCGAGCACCACCGCAGGAAGGTTCTAAGAGGCAGAAGAGGCCGGCGAGCGCAGGAGGGAAGGCGCGCAGGGCGGGGCGCGCGTTCGCGCGGCCGGGGGCGGGAGATAGGCGGGAGCCCCTGGTCGCAGACAAAGCCTCTCCAGCCTGTCGCTGATTAGCCCAGCCGATCACGTGCCAGGCGACCATTGGTCTATGAGCCAGTGGCGAGCGCAATCCTTTTTGGGAGTTGTAGTTCTCTATTGTCCACGCTGCAAAATGAAGTTAGGCATGGGTGGGTACTGTGGGAGGTTTAATGGGCATCTTGCGTATGGGTGTGATTGTATTTATTTTTTTTAATGGAAAATGACTTCTCATGAGATTCCTATCCTTTATTCCTGAGAGAGGTTTTTGTGCTAAGAAGTTTTGGGAAATATAGTAATTGGGAGGTCTGAGGTTCCCTGAACTGGGAGGTGGGGTAGGCACGCCCTGCAAGCTGCCGCCGCAGTAGCTCTGGTAAGGGCAGACTGCATAGCTCAGCGGAAAGTCCGAGATACATACTATCTAGTACTTTGTGGTCCCAAGACAGGAACTTCAGTAAGCGCCACTCCCTCGCATCCCCTCCTGTCTCTAAGGGAGTTGTCCCAAGGATGTTTCAAAAGAGAAACAAAATTGCAAGGACTTTTCGGACTAGAATTGTTGCACGGGACGGATGTTCACAAAGAGTGAAGCTGTAATCTCTTCGGAGGCCGGAGGAGGACAGGACAGGGCGGGGGGTGGGGGTGGAATGCCTCTAGGACGACACAGAAGACATCCTGGTCATCTTGTCAATACAGACTGTGAAATGGGATGCCTAAAAGAATGACAGCGTCTTCTGATGCCTCTCTCAGACACTCAGATGAAGTCGGCTGATTTTATTCACTAGATGAGGCTGTGGCAGTTGGTTGATTTTTTTCACGAGGTTAAGCTGTATTAAAAGTCCTGGAACTGTGGAAGAGGGGAGAGGGGATTGAATGGACTCAAGTCAGAGCCGATAAGCTTCTTCCCAGGGTTTCATTCGATAGAAGAAACTAAGTACCCTAAAAAGTGTAAAGGGATACAAAACGATTAATTAGAGTCAGAGTAGAACGGTTCACACGTTAATACCATCATTCTAAGCCAGGAGGATCTCAGGAAATTCAAGGTCAACCTGGGTTACTTAAGAGAGTTCCTGCCCAGCTGGAGGTACAGCTTTAGACCCAGTCTCAAAATAAATAACAGGAAAAATTAGCTTGTGCCCAACCTCCCAAAGACTGGGGAGGTTGAGGCAGAAAGATTCTTGTACGTTGAAGGCTAGCTAACCTGGGCTACAAAATGAGAGCCTGTCTTGGAAACAAAACATACATGGGGCTGGAGAGATGGCTCAACAAATAAGAGCTTTTGTTGTTCTGGAACAAGACCCAGGTTCAGTTCCCATCATCCACATAGACGCTCTCAACTATCCACGAGTTCAGTTCCAGGGGACCCAACACCCCATTCTGTCCTCTGCAGGCACGTGGCACACAAATACTGCACAGATATCCAAGCAAAATACTAATACACATAAATAAATACCTCTGTGAGAGAAAACAAAGGAAGGGGTGTGGTAAGAGGTATCAGGAATGAGATCATGTAAGTGTGTGGCCCAGACAGAGGCAGGAAGATCGGTGAGTTCAAGGCTAACTTGGTCTGTTAGTTCTAGGCCAGGTAGAGGTACATCATAATGAGACCCTTTCTCTTTCAGAAAGAAAATGTTATCAAAGACATTGTTAGCATTTAATCAATACGCAGCTCAAATCATCTTTTAAATATAAGAACATTAAATAGCATTAATACCCCTTTATTCATTAAAAATACAATGTTTTAATTTTGGACATGCTAACAATGAAACCGATTCTTTTTGTGTTACTTGAATTTGAATTTATCCCATTAACAGTAGAAACATGGGGAAAGAATCCAACTTAAAAAGTTTCAAATGTCGCTGAGCGGTGGTGGCGCACGCCTTTAATCCCAGCACACAGGCAGGCGGATGTCTGTGAGTTCAAGGCCAGCCTGGGCTACAGAGTGAGCTCCAGGAAAGGTGCAAAGCTACACAGAGAAACCCTGTCTCGAAAAGCCTGCCGATTTTCAAATGTCTGCCGATTTCTTTATGGTGAACATACACAGATAACCAGTGGGGAGAAACTCCAAGCCACCCAAGCCAATTTCTTACTATGCTTTCATGTTTTGTTATGATATTGAAGTAAACCATTTTATCCTATCTTTCCCGTCTTTTGAAAGATGACAGACCTTGAGGTTTTACCGAAACAGTTTGCCTACCCACGTTTGTTTTATTTAGAATCTTCCATTTGGGAAGGTGACCTCAAAATGTCCGTCACTTTATACATAAATAACTACATTTCTACTAAGCCGTCCAAATCGAAAGGAGATGAAATCCCTCTGCAACGGGGCGTTCTAGAGCGCCACGCCTACGGGCAGACCTCCAATCTGCAACCTCCAGCCACGACTGCAGCCGGCCACCGCTCATTCCTCGGGAGTCGGCTAGCGCCATTTCTGGGACGACCGAGAAGGGCGCTCTGGCCTTGGAGCGACATCTATGGTATGGCCGATCTACCCGCCGCCGGCGACTGGCGCCAGACTCTGTGGTAGGCGTTTGGAAATCTGCGCGGGAAGTGTACGGCGGAGGACGTAGCGGCGGTGGGTTGGCCCAGGGCGCCAGCCAATGGCGGAGCCGGCCTCCCAGGCCACGCCCCCTGCCCGGCGGCAGCGCTTCCTTCAGCACGTTTCCCGCCGGGAGCCACACTTTTGAGCTCTGAGGGGGCGGGCCGGGGGGCGGGGCTTCCGACCTGGGATTTGAATCAATCGGCGCGCCCCGCGTTGTAAATGACAGCTCCGGTAGCCAATCAGCCCGCCGGCTCTCTTCCGGGAGTCGCATTCCCGCCACCCTGCTGGCGGCCGTTACGGGCGGCGCGCGCGCGCGCGGGGACTCCGTGGGTGAGTTCGGCCGCCCGCGCCCTGGTTACCATCTTGAGTGCTCCTGAGGGCCCGAGGGGCGTGCCTCGGGTGTCACTGGGCGGAGGTAACCTGGGTTCCCGTGTTAGATCCCTATGCTAATCATGGCCCCGGAGTAGCTTTGACGACTTTGCGGAATCTTTGGGCCACGCGGGAGCAAACTCAAAGATGGTCGCTCTCCCATGGGAGCGAGGGCCGTAGGCGTCGGCTGGGCTGACAGGACCGAGTTTCCTTCTTGGGGTGCCCTACTTTCCCTGTCAGCGGTCTCCCCGTGTGTGACATCTTTATAGGTAAAACTACCCGTGCAGTCTGGAGCCTTGGCTTCGTTTGTTCCTTAGTCAGGAGCTCTGGCGCTGTGGCCCCCAGGAGAGCAGGGTTGGTTTTGGTTGGTGATGTCTGTGCCAAATACCGCGGAAGGTCCCAGGTGCGCATCATCATTGTAAATAAGGCGGACCCCGGGGTGGGGTGGGGAGGGGGACACAGTCCCGCGGGTACCAGTCTGGGGGGAAGAAATAAGCCCTTGCCAAGGAGTCACATTAGGAGTGATCGTAGGCAAGAGTAGTTTCCTCACCTGAAAAAAAAAAGTTTTACCCACCGAGTTCTCCGGAAGAATAAACGAGTCAGCCAACTTCAAGTATTAGAACAGTTTGACCCGGGCGGCAGTGGCGCGCGCCTTCGGTCCCAGCACTCGGAGGCAGAGGCAGGCGGACCTCTGAGTTCGAGGCCAGCCTGGCCTACAGAGTGAGGTCCAGGACAGCCAGGGCAACAGAGAAACCCTGTCTTGGAAAAAACAGTATGTTTCATTTAGCAATTTCTCAACACCCACACCCACACACAGGTGAGGCCTGGTTCTAAGGAGGGTGTCAGATCCCCTGGAAATTGAGTTATAAACTGCTGAGAGCTATGAGGGTTCTGGGGACTGAACCCAGGTTCTCTTGAAGGATGCAGTGCCTAACCACTGAGCCATCCTTCAACTGCTAAACCGGCTGTATTTTTTTAAGGGGTCTTAATATGTTGTCCGAGCTTACCTGGAGCTCCAGGACTCAAGCAGTTGTCCTGCTCCAGCTTCCTCATGGCTAGAACTGCAGACATATGCCACCTAGATCCAGTTTATCATGCTTTACAGACTTTAAATAAAAGTGCCCACTTGGGGGCTGGGGATATAGCTCAGGGTAGAGCATTTGCCTTGTGAGAGGCCCTAGGTTTAGTCTCCAGAACCTAAGATTCCATAAAATATCCCTTTGTAGATACTGGTGTATTTGGACCTTAGTTCTTTGTCATGGCCAAAAGTATAAATATGCATGTGTATATTTTTTGTTTTGGGGGGCAAGGTCTTACTGTAACCAAGGATGGTTTCCACATCTTGTTTTTTTTTTTTTTTTTTGGAGACAGGATCTAACTATGTAGCTCTGATTGGCCTGGAACAGACTACATACACCAGACTGGCCTTGAACTCACAGAGCTCTGACTACCTCTGCCTCGCAAGTGCTATACAAAGGTATGTATGACCGTGCATGGCCAGATCTCCAAGTCTTAATCATCCTGCCTTGGCACCTCAGGTGCTGGAATTACAGATATATGCCAACATTTGAATCAAAAAAGATTTTTGTTTTGTTTTGTTTTTAGACAGGGTTTCTCTGTATAGCCCTGGCTGTCCTGGAACCCACTGTATAGACCAAACTGGGCTCGAATTTGGAGATCTGCCTGTCTGCATCCCAGGTGCTGGGATTAAAGGTGTTTGCCACCACCACTTGGCCCCCTTTTTCCACTGGTAGTACTAAGTGTTGAACATATGGCCTCACACAGGCTATCCAAACATTCTACCACAGACATATTCTTTTTTTTTTTTAAAGATTTATTTATTTATTATGTATACAGCATATCTGTCTGCAGGCCAGAAGAGGGCACCAGATCTCATTACAGATGGTTGTGAGCCACCATGTGGTTGCTGGGAATTGAACTCAGGACCTCTGGAAGAGCAGTCAGTGCTCCTAACCTCTGAACCATCTCTCCAGCCCCCACAGACATATTCTTATACGCCCCCTCCCCAATATTTTTACATGCTTCAGAATGACTGATAGAAAAGCATCACCTCAGCTGGGCAGTGGTGGCACACGCCTTGAATCCTAGCATTTGGGAGGCAGAGCCAGGCGGATCTCTGTGAGTTCGAGGCCAGCCTGGGCTACAGAGCGAGTTCCAGGACAGCCCTACATAGAGAAACCCTGTCTGGGGAAAAAAGAAAGAAAGGAAAAAAAGCATCACCTCCACGTTTATGCAGGTTTACCTCCAGTTATTTTTTTCCTCTACAAATGTGTATAAACCAATGACAGGAACAATAATAATGTGTTTCCTTCACAGATCATGGAAAACACCCAGGTTATTAACTGGGATGCTGACGAAGAGGAGGAGACAGAAGTATCCAGTGGGCCCTTGGGGTATAGCTTGGAGCCTATAGGGCGGCTACGTCTCTTCAGTAGTGCTCATGGACCAGAAAGAGGTCAGAGGATATTGGGAGCTGAAGTATGAATATGGGTCTTTCCTTTTCCTTAGGGGTAGTTGGAATGTCGGTAGACCCTTATATAAGTTTCAAAGGGGATATGAATAATTGTTCTGCTGGGAATGGCAAAGAGACCGTCTGAGTTGATTGTTCCAGGCTGGTGCCCTATATTTTCTAGGAGTGACTTTCTTTTGTTAGGAGCAAATGAAGAGCTACAAATAAAAATGCAATGTGGGAGCTAGGCGGTAGTGGTGGCACTCGCCTTTATTCCCAGCACTCAGGAGGAAGAGGCAGGAGGATCTCTGTGAGTTCGAAGCCAGCCTGGTCTACAGAGTGAGTTCCAGAACACGCTCCAAAAGCTACACAGAGAAACCCTGTCTCAAGAAACAACAACAACAAAAAAAGTAAACAATAACTCTTTTATGTTTTTCAGGATAGGGTTTTCTGGTAGCCCAGGCTGTCCTAGAACTCCGCCTGCCTCTGCCTCATCCTGAGTGTTGGGATTAAAGGCTTGCACCATCAACGCCAGGCATAACTTTTTTTTTTCTGTTTGTTTTTGTTTGATTTTTGAGACAGGGTTTCTCTGTGTAGCCTTAGCTGTCCTGGAACTCTCTCTGTAGACCAGGCTGGCCTCGAACTCACAGAGGTCCGCCTGGCTCTGCGAGTGCTGGGATTAAAGGCGTGCGCAACTGCCTCCTGGCCAGGCATAAAATTTTTTAAAGAATTAAAATACACTGTGGCCTAGGAATGGATGTTGGTGATTGTAGAAGGACAATAGATATGTGATACAACTGAACAGTATACTTACAATGATTGAGGTGGTTAGATTTGTAGTGTGTGTATTTTTTGTTTTTATTTTTCCTTCAAGACAGGGTCTCTATATAGCCCTTGCTGTCCTGGAACTCACGATGCAGACCGGCCTCAAACTCAGATCCACTTGCCTCTGCCTCTCAAATGTTAGAATTAAAGGCGTGTGCCACTATGTCCAGCCTGTATTGTGTATTTTATTACAACAGAAAACACCCATTGGGCATGGTCGTGCATGTCTGTGATCCTTGTACGCAGGAGGTGAATCTAGAGTTTGAGGATAACCTAGGCCACATAGCAAATTTGAAAACAATCTGGGCTACATAGTGAGACCCTGGATCAAAAACAAAACAAGGGCTGTAGCTCAGGGGAAGAGTGCTTAGCTAGCTTGCATGAATCTGTTTTCAAGTTTGAGAATTGGGAAAACAATAATAATGTGAGTAAATAGAGTATGTTGCAGGTGAGTAAATGCTCTTCTGTGCTGGTATGCTGGTTGTTTTTAATGCCTGTAAGAACTTTGAGTGAATAGTGGGGTACCTTCTTAAGGCCAAGACTCTGACCTTACTCCTCAATGTTACTTCTCTATCCTTAGATTTCCCACTCTACCTTGGCAAGAATGTAATTGGCCGAAGCCCTGACTGCTCTGTGGCCCTGCCTTTTCCGTCCATCTCTAAACAGCATGCAGTGATTGAAATCTCAGCTTGCAACAAAGCTCCTATCCTCCAGGATTGTGGGAGCCTCAATGGCACTCAACTCGTAAAGCCCCCTAAGGTCCTGGCCCCTGGAGTAAGCCATCGTCTGAGGGACCGGGAATTAATTCTGTTTGCAGACTTTCCCTGCCAGTACCATCGCTTGGATGTCCCTCCACCTTTGGTCTCTCGGGGACTTCTAACTATAGAGAAGACTCCCAGATTACAGGGAGGATCCCAAACCTCTAGAGTTTTGTTGGCTGAGGATTCAGAGGAGGAAATGGGTAAGTTTGTGCCTTGGGTGTATGTGTAAAGAGACAGAGATGAGGATGTAAACTGTCGATTTAACTCCTTCCTGTTCTTGACAGATTTTCTGTCAGATAGGTGTGTGGCAAATGGATCAAGGAATGCAACGTCCCCCTCAGCAACAGTAGTTCCAGAAAGGTGAGTACCAAAGTACCAGGTACCTGAATTGTTCCTTTTGTTTTTTTTCGGAGTCTCTGTAGCCCAAGCTTAAGACTTAAAACTCATGGCAATCCTCGGGGTGCAGTCTCTGAGTATGGGGCTTACAGGGTTGAGCCACCTTACCCGGTTTTAGACACCTGTGCCTTTGAATACGGAGATAAGGTGTCAGTCTTGAAGAGATGAGATGATTATCTTGAAAGGTGGAATTGAGAGCCTTGGCATAATCATTTCCTGAGCTGAATTAAATGACGATGAGCACCGGTGTACGCAGTGGAGGTGGGGAAAGAGCCGCCACTAGTGCCTGCTCTCAAGGCGCTCCTGGCTGAGTGGGGTGGCCCTTTCCAGGAAGTAGTTCTTTGGAATTTCTGTCTTTGCAGTGATGAGGAGGGGTCTTCCCCAGCCCCGAGTGTCCCCGGCCCGTCTCTGCCCTTGGACTTGGGCAGTGACACAGATGAAGAACAAGGTGAGCAAACGGCAGTCGGGGGGTCCTCTTCCGCAGCCAGGAATGGCATCCAGCTGGTACAGGCTCAGCCTGCTGAGCAGAAGTTCAAGGACCCAAAAGTCACGAGTGGAGCGGCTTTGGCTGGGCTGGTTGTGGAGAAGAGCCCCACTCCTGGGGAGGACAGTGATACAGATGTGGATGAAGAGCACCAGCCTTCTGTGGACAGTGATACAGATATGGAGGAAGAGAGGATCCCTGTGACCCCACCTGTAGTTCCTGGGAAGAAGAAGAAGAAGCAGCAGCAGCGAGTCCTGCTTGGAGTTGGTACAAAGGATCCTGGAGCACCTGAAGCGGCACAACTGCAGGACAGCCCAGCCGGTAGTGACACAGATGTGGAGGAGGGCAAGGTGCCACTGACTGTCCCTCAAGAGAGAAACCACACATCCATGGTGATCGACAGCGATACAGATGAGGAGGACGAAGTCTCCTCAGCATTCACCTTGGCCCATCTGAAAGAGAGAGGAATTACTTTGTGGAGCAGAGACCCAGGCGTGGAAGAGGTCAAGTCCCAACCACAGGTCCTTGTAGAACGAAGCCAGAGTGCCTCTGGGAGAGACAGTGACACTGACGTGGAGGAGGGAAGGAGAGAGGTGGTCCCTGACAGCCCCATGGACCTAGAAGAAGCTCCTGTCACACATTCAGAGAGCCAACCTCCCCATAGACCCGGTGATGTAGATGAGGATGTGGATATGAGTTCCCCTGGTGGCCATCTAGAGGGAAATCAGGCCTCCTCTGCCACAATAGACAACAATGGTGCACAAGAGGAGGAGGAAATCCTGCCAGAGCCAGCTGTTACCCTGGGGGAGAAGCACCAGCTGCCTCCAGAGGAAGCCCAGCCTCCCGAGGACGGGGAAACAGCTGTGGAGGAAGGCTCATCTTCAGCAGTGGCAGATGCAAGAAAGAGCCAGCAGCCAGTAGCAGAAGATACTGGGACAGAGTCAGCTGCAGCTGGTTCTGAGCAGGAGGGCACTCTGGAGGTGGGGGCCCAAAGCAGGCCACCTGCTACACCGGTGGAGCAGGTGATGGTGTGTACAGGTACTCCAGGGGGTCCCACCCAGCCACAGAGGGAGGAAGCCCAGACCCCCACAGGAACGGAGAAAGGAGCACAAATGGACAGGACCCAGAATGCCAAAGGCTGTTGTGATGGTAAGTGCTGCCCTCTGCTCTGCCCTTGACCTTTGAAATAAACTGGTTATAAGGGTTAGGAGAGAACTATTTTGTCTCATCTCTTCCCACCAGAATCTGAAGATCTGTGCCTTCCAGCTACCCAGTGCTTTGTAAAAAGGGAGAGCCAGAGCTCAGAAGGTGAGGATATTGTGTTGTTTGATTTTTTTTTTTTTTTTTTTTTGGCTTTTTGAAACAAGGTTTCTCTGTGTAGCTTTGGTGCCTGTCTTGGATCTCACTCTGTAGACCAGGCTGGCCTCCAACTCACAGAGATCCTCCTGGCTCTGCCTCCTAAGTGTTGGCATTAAAGGCGTGTGCCACCACCGCCCAGCCAAGTGTTGTTTGGATTTGAGTACCAGTAAGAGCCGGGTGATTAGACTGGTGGTCCTTGAAAGATGGTGTGGCCAAGATGGGGAATGGGACTCGGGCATTCTGGGAGGAACTGTGCTCCAGCCATCTTTTCTTCTGCAGCTGTCCAGAGTTTGGAAGATGAGCCTACCCAGGTCTTCTCATGTATTCTTCCCCAAGAGCCTGGACCTTCCCATGTTAGTCTTCAGACTCCAGGTACAAGAAAGTCTCTTTAAGCCCCCAACTTTGCATCCTTTCTTGTTTTCTTCCTCTACATCCTTTCATATTCTGTCTTATTTTAATCTGTTTTTATATGTATGAGTGTTCACCATGTGCATGCCTGGTGCCCACAGAGGTCAGGAGAGGATGTCTTACCCCTGAACTGGAGAGATTATTAACTGTTGTGAGCCACCATGTGGCTTCTCAGAACTGAATCCAGGTCCTCTGCTAGAACAACCAGTGCTGTTAACTGCTGAGCCATCTCTCCAGCCCTCATATTCTTTATTATTTGTTTGGGAACATGAACTCATGTAGCCGAGAATGACCTTGAACTTCTGGTTCTCCAAGTACTGGGATTATAATTGTGTGCCACCACATCCAGCTAGGGATGGACCAGGGCTTCATGAATGCTAGATGAGCTCTCTACCAACTGAGCTGTATCCTCAGCCCCACCTCTCATGTTCTTTTGTTTTACTGATGTCCTCCATTTCATCAGGAAAAGAACTCTGTACCAGGCATAGTCACACACACTTGGGAGGCAAAAGTAGGAGCTCAGGGCCGACCTGGACTATGTGAGACCTTAGACCTGGACTAAGATGGGTCAGCGGTGGTGGTGCACACCTTTAATCCCAGCACTTGGGAGGCAGAGCCAGGCGGATCTCTGTGAGTTCGAGGCCAGCCTGGTCTACAGAGCGAGATCTAGGAAAGGCGCAAAGCTACACAGAGAAACCCTGTCTCAAAAAAAAAAAAAAACAAGATGGAGCTGGCCAGTGGTGGAGCATGACTTTAATCCCAGCACTCAGGAGGTGGAGGCAGGCAGATCTCTATGAGTTCCAGGCCAACCTGGTCTACAGAGTGAGGTCCAGGACAGCCACGGATACACAGAGAAACCCTATCTCGAAAAACAAAAAAAGATGGCTAGAGAGATGGCTGAATGGTTAAGGGTGGCAGCCGCTCTAGAGAGTCAGAGTTCAGTTCCAGCACCCATGTCAGGCAGCTGACAAGTGCCTGTAAGTCCAGCTTCTGGAGATCTGACAACCTCTGATAGCCATGTGCACCCACATACACATTCATGTGAACAAAAATTTAAAAATACATCTTTTTTTTTTTTTTAATTTTTATTTAGTGTCAGACCCCTTGGAACTAGAGTTACACACAGTTGTGAGCTGCCATGTAGGTGCTGGATATTGAACCCAGGTCCTCTGGAAGAGCAGCCAATGCTCTTAACTACTGAGCCATCCCATCCCTCCAGCCCCTAAAAATACATCTTAAGCCTTAAAAGGTGGTGGCGCACGCCTTTAATCCCAGCACTCAGGAGGCAGAGGCAGGCTGATCTCTGCTAGTTGGAAGCCAGCCTGGTCTACAGAGTGAGTTCCAGAACAGACAGGGCTACACAGAGAAACCCTGTCTTGAAAAATAACCAACCAACCAACCAATAACAACAACAACAAAAACTTAAAAGATAAGACAACAAATAAAATCATATTTCTGGGCCTTACCCTGATTGTAGTTCAGGAGATTGGGGATTGGCCCACAGACTTTTTTTTCCCTCTGCATGCTGCAGGTTGAACTCGGGGCTTTATGCATGCCAGGCAAGTACTCTCCTTACCCCCATACCGAGTCCTTATTCTTCAGTTGAGGCTCCTGAGGGCGCCTGTGTGAGAGAGTGTCATCTTCTACATAGCATTCAGTGTTATACCTGCCACCTTTATTCCCAGCTTGCCTTTAGTAACCCAGTTAGCCATGTGTGAGTCTGCCCTAGTTCTTAGCCTTACTGCCTTTTTACCTGCGTGCCTGTCTGCTTTTTCTGATCCCCTTTAGGTCCTGGTGCCCTGGATGTGCCTTGGGAAGTCTTAGCTACACAGCCGTTTTGTCTGAGAGAACCTGAGGCCTCTGAACCCCGGCTCATTGCCACCCACCTCGAAGCTCCAGGATCCAGTCCATCTCCAACTAGTGCACCACCAGGACACCAGCATCTGGTTCCCAAGGAGCGTTTGGGACTTGAAGGCAGAGAGATACAGACTGTGGAGAAAGCCATGGGTATACCAAAGGAAACAGCAGATAGGGTGACCTCTGAGAGAGAGCCGCTGGGAAGGACACCAAACAGTGGGAGAGAAGACGTGATGGAGGAAGAAGAGCTAACTCAGGGGAAAGAGGACAGAGAGCCAGAGAAGGTGTTAGCTAGAGACAGACAGGGACAAGAGTCTGGCAAGGTGAAGGGTAGGGATTGTGAAGGGAGTGGAGAGAGTTCGAAGGTAGAAACGGAGATGTCCAAAGACACACAGAAGAGAGAGAGAGAAGTAGGGAACCCTGAACCAGAGAGCGAGTGGGAACCTGCTGGTTTAGAAGTGACCCTTGATAGAGGGTCAACAGAGGGAGGAAGCCATGATCAGACAGAGCAGATTGCTGATTTAGGCATGGGGGACCTTGAGGAACTTGCATCAGCCCTGGTAGTCTCTGGGAGCCGGGGAGATGGAGGAAAGGGAGACCCTGTGAGCCCCGGGAGGCAGCAGAGAGGTAAGTGAGGGCAGAGGGAACCAGTGTGCTAAGAGTCCTCCTGGCAATTAGTCCCTGAACTGTAGGCCGCACAGCACTCAGCCACTCCTGTTTTATTCTCTGACTAGGCCACTTGAGTTTCGAGATGGCATCTGCTGAAAAGGCTTCCAAGGTACGCTGCTTTTTGTCCTGCCCCTCCTTCACTGGTTGCCCCCATCCCTGGCAGCCCCTTTGCTCAGCCTGCCTCCACTCCATCCCTTTGTCCATACTTCCTGTTTTCTACTGCGTACATTTGTGCATGTTTGTGAGGGTATGTGTTTGGGGGAGTTTCATGAGGAAGCCAAGCTGTTTTTCAGGAACCACCCAACTTTTTGGAAGGGTGAGGGTCAGGATCTCGAGCTGGCTTAGAATTTGGTCAAGTAGACTGGGCTGCTTGGCCAGCAAGCTCTGGGGACCGTCCTGTCTCTACCTGCCTACACTGGGATTACAAGCATATGTCACTATACCTGGCTTTTTTACATGGGCTCTGGAGATCAAATTCAGATCCTAGTTGCTTGCCTTGTCTACTGAACTGTCTCCCATGTTCCCAGTTTTCCTCCTCGTCACTCATTCCTGTGTCCTGCCACCCATTGTTCCCTTCATTGACTCTTGGTGCTGCTTCCTTCTTTGCCCAGCCATGTTTTAGTTACTGTGTACACCCCCATGCAGGACACTATACTGGAGTTATAAAGAGAGACCCTTGTGGTATCCAAAGGATTGCTTCCTCTCCCAGGGAGTTCCTAGTCTAAAGAGAGGTCACAGAAAGAAAAGTGCCAGTGAGCATGGTCATAAATAGAATCAAAGCCAGATGTGCTAATGGGCCTGTCATCCCAGTACTTGGCAGGAAAGGTGGAAGATCAGTGGAGGACACTGTGATCCCATGAGGCCCTTCTTCAGAAACACTGAGAAAGATCAAGATCCATGCCCACCTCTTATCACTCGCCTCTCCTCCTCAGGGTGATCCAGAACCCCCAGCCCATTGCCTGCTTTCTTCGGTGCCTGAAGCTTCAGCTCCACCTCAAAGTCTCTTCACCTCTCAGAGCCAAAAGCAATCTACACCTCAGCCTCTGTTTTTGACGTCTTCCCCTTCTGAGATACAGCTTCCTGGGACTCTTCATACAAAGCCTAATGTCAGGCCACGGCGGTCTTCCAGGATGACTTCCTCCCCACATTCCTCTGCTGCCCCTAGACCAGCATCTCGAACCACTCGGGGCAGGGCAAATAGGTCCTCTACCAGGACCCCAGAACCAACTATCCCTACAGACTCCGAACTTCAGCCTCCTACCTCCACAGAACAGCCTGTCATCCCCAAACCCCCCTCTCAGGGCACTCAGGGCAGCACAAATAGTTCCTTTGTTAACACACCTGAACCAGTTGTTCTCACAGGTCCCGAAATCCAGCCACCCACCTCCACAGAACAGCCTGTTAACCCAAATTCCACACCTCGGGCTACTCGGAGCAGGCCAAGTAGGTCTTCCATCAAGACCCCAGAACCACTTATTCCCGTTGGCTCTGAACTGCAGCCTCTCACCTCCACAGAACAACCTGTCATACCTAAACCCACATCTCCGGCCACTCGGGGCAGGCCACGTAAGTCTTCTGTCAGGACCCCAGAACCAATTGTCCCCACTGGTCCTGAACTCCAGCCACCCACCTCCACAGAACAGCCTGTTAACCCTAAACCCACATCTCAGTCCTCTCGGGGCAGGTCAAGTAAGTCTGTCAGGACCCCAGAACC